TATTGCTATTGCTATTGCTATTGCTAAAAAAGAGGAAATTCATACCCAAAACAAGCAGAAAAAGAAGGTACATTTTGCATGCTATTTGACAGGTAGCGATGCAACCTTAGCAGAACAATTCTCATTCTGATAGTAATATACTATCCTCAAGTAGGGATCTCTTACCACCAGATGCCTTTTGTGTCCTCAAAGTACTCAATATTGATCAGTAACTGCTGCTTTTATATGAGTTTCTATCTTAAATTTTAAAAGAGTCTCTTTCGAATTGATCTGTGATTTTATGGATACTTCTACGTAGTTTTTTCTTTTTTAAACAACAGCACAGAAATAACTTGTGGGGTTTTTTTTCTCCTAATTTCACAGCTTAGTGTAAAGCTGTAGTATTTTTGGCAGTCTTTTAGTCAAGTGCTACTTAAGTTTTCAACCTACTTTGCTTTCCAAAATTAGCCAAGCTCTATACTGCCACTTAGCTGGATATGAAATTGCACTTGGGCCTTTGTGAGGAAAGGCTGTTCTTTGATAGCTTTCCAATCCGATATATTGTCAATTATGAGGAAATCTCGGCTGGTTTCCACCATCTCCCTGTGTGGGCTCCTGTAAGAGAACTCGGAGATTTGGGGATAAAAAAATAATAACAAATGCAACAGCCCTGGATATTTCAGTCTTGTTTGGTTAAATAACCACTAGCCCTTAGTTAAGCCATCGCTGAAAAGAAATCCAAGCAATTCGTAATGATTCTGCCTCAGTGAATTCACACGTAAGGCTGGAATTTTACTGATTCATTTTCTAAGATTTTGTATCTCAACCCTTTTTATTCTGGCATTAAACCTGATTAATGGAATTTGGTGCAAATCTCGCTCCCCTGGCCCTGTATTAAGGGACTTAAGAGTCCCTTAGGACTCCAGTCTAAGATGCTTAAAGTCTTAGGCTGTGGGGAAGGAGGAAGTTATTCAAAGTAATTGATAATAAATTCAAAGAAGAATGGGATTTTAAGGCAATAAATAAGGAAATCAGATAAAGAATTTGCATGATTAGTTGCTATTAGAAGACTGCCATTGCTTTTCAGTTAAGTGAGCCAGTCTTCTTTCCATTGATGAAAGAAATGTCCTTCTGGGTTCGGCTCCAAGTGGGGAAAAAGACACTGGAGACATGGAGGCTG